ACACGAAATACCGGGCGAATTTGTTTTTTTTTAAAGGAAAGTTACAAATGAAATAAATCGCACTGCAAGCCGGTAAAAACCGCACTATGAATAGCATTTTAGTTTATATTTCAGTTTATAGAATTGATGAAGAGTCTAAAACCTTTCCAATACTTTCCCCTATTTGACAGCTCTGTATCGTCATTTCATTTCCCCACATCATCCCGCCAATTCTGAGTGATTACAAATACGTGCGGCGGCGGCGGCGGCGGCGCTTGGACGAGCGGGTGACGATTGGTTTACCGGCGAACTAGTAATTTGTTGGATTTTGTGGTGAAGAACTCAATACAGAAACTAAGCGACACGGTTGAACGGTAGAATATTCAAACCCTCTGTTAATCGCTCGCTCCCCCCTCTCTCTCTCTCTCTCTCTCTCTCTCTCTCTCTCTCTCTCTCTCTCTCCTCTGATGTTGTTTGGGAAAATCGGAGCTAAATTTTTTTTGATTCCTTTAACTTTTAAATTCAGAAGAAGATCTGCATCAATTGATAAAAGCGTAACTCTCTTACAGATTTGTGTTATATTTGTTAGCATTTCACAAAATATCCTGATGAATTTTAACTGTGATAAAAATTGGGGATAAATATAGGTCAAGGCATATGTAATTGGATTATTCAAAGTAATCTGTTCAAAGGAATGAAATCATGTTTCAGTTTCTGCATATTGCTATTTGTAAAAAAATGTTTCAGTTCGTTATAGTACTATAGCTTTGATCAACTCAAATTCGTGTGCTTACAGTCATGTTTTTACCGAACTTTGCTAGAAAAATGGAGCTAGGAGATATTCTCGACCTCTCGTATCAGGATTTGTCTTATTATACTGATAACTTTTCCGAGAGCAACTACCTCGGCCATTTCCAATTTGGCAAACTCTATCGTGGGAAGATTGTGCATGCTGAATCGACTCGTTATGTGATGGTGAAGATATGGGAAGTTTCAGAAGTCTACACTTGCATACCTGGATACAATGAAATTAGATTAATGGTATGTTATCCCTACCATATAACATTTCAAATACTTATATATCTACGATTCCCGATATCTGATATACTTTCTTTTACAGGATGAAGTCACTTTACTTCGCCACCGTATGATGGTTAATCATCCGAACTTGGTAAAGTTGTACGGATACTGTTATGAAGGTGGTCACCTTGGTGTTGTTTATGATTTCAAGCCATTTGACTCGGTTTTTAACCTCATTCCTAAAGGTATTCGATTTTATTTTTTAAAAGTTTTCTTATTCAATAATACCATCTGTATGTTTTGCCACTTACTTATTGTCTAGTGTTACCGTGCAAGAAGGTAGAGGATTGTAGTTTGGTTTGCTAGAACGTTATAAATTTTGAAAATCTCGAGCTTCTCTTTGACATCTCTGTAGTGCATTAATTGATGGAAGAGCTGACGGAACCTAATTAGTTTTTAAACCAAACACTTTTTCAATCCATTTTACCGTGCTTCTTGCTCCACACGTGGTTATGTTTTGAGATTGTTATCGGTATTTTGTGATGAAAGCTGTATAGATTTTCACAATTTTGTACAATTATTTTGCCGTGGTAATTGACAATGATAATACGAATCCATAACTGAAGATTGTGTTTTGTCTTCAGATGATTTCACTTGGCTGCAAAGAATCAAAGTCTCCCTGCAATTTGCTTCCCTCCTAAAGTTTCTGCACGGTTTAAAGTGTCCATCACGTTTCATAGTTCAAAATCTTGACTGTGCTCATATAGTGCTCAACGAGGTGTGTTCCAAGCATTTCATTCCCATAATTGAACATCCTATATAGCAAATGAATGTAACAGTTATTCATTTAATTTCTGTTGCAGGATTATAATCCAAAATTATGTGATTTTGGTCTCATCACCGGTGGGATTTTTCCCGACAAGGCCAAATGTAACCACCATCATTTGATTGGATGCAATGGCTACGTTGATCTCGCGACACAAAAAAATGGTATTTTAAAATTTTGTTACACTCTTTACTACTATGAATTGAAGTTCTATTTCCTGGCGTTGATCGGGAATATATATTAGATTATTATATATTCAACTGAATTATTTGTGTAATTTTTGTATGACTTCCAGCTATTGTTAGAATATTCGTAGTGCATCCCTGTTTTAGAAATTAGTTCAGAAAGGTTAATTTCATTTTTGGTTCAAGAGGTAAAGCTCATTTTTAGTAAAGCCCCGATATGAAGGACATTACTTAATTGATCCTATAAATTCCTTTTTTTCCCATCTCTCCCCCGCATTTGTTTTCTTTTCTCATTTCATCTTTTTCTTTCCATTTTTGTTATTTTTTCGCTTGTTCTGTCATGGGAAACTATTAGATGAACCTTCCGTCATGTTATTACCGTCCATAAGTCATTGACTGTGTTCTGTTAATGGATGGTTTGAATTGGAAAGTAGTAGTTTAATACATGTATGTATTTTGATGATATCTAATGAGGAATTACATCACATATAGAAATAGAAGAACATTCAGCAAAACAGTTCCAATACCGATTTGCTCGGCAGATTTCTTGAACAGTATTAGTACACGGTTAAATTTGGATTTTTGCATGTATCTTTTTTTTCGAAATCAGCATATTCTGCCAAGGCAACTAATTGCTCGTGTAATCCGTAAGATAGATTCAACATCAAGATTGCTTTTGTAATTGCGAAACATAGAGTGGTATCTTTTAAATATTACGATAGTGTAATCAAGATTCGAGATCACAAAATTATCTGTTGTGGTGCATCAACGTTGAATTAACAGCTCAGTGGTTCAATTTCTGATTGTGCTGCAATTTGCATCCAACTATATCATTTTTGTTTATATTAATTTGTTTGAAACTGCAAGTAATTATGACGTTTGTTGCAGATAGTAGTTCAGATAAGCAAGATGTGTTTGCATTTGGTACTATACTTCTGAGTTTGATTTCAAAGAGAGTTTACACTGAAGAAGACAGGTCAAATTCTGCACCGTATGTTTGCCAATGGGCCTACGAGAAGTTTATCGAATATGAACACAATTCAGACACCGGCACGAAAAAGCCCAAGTTTACGGTCGTCCACCAAAGTCTAGAAGCCGATCCTTATTTTGAACCTTCCGATGGGCATAAGATCACTGCACTGGCATTGAAATGCGTAGTTGATGATTTTTTTACGCGCCCAACAATGAAGCAAGTTCTGAAATCTCTGCTCAATCTCAAAGCCGTGAAGAAGAATGCTGATTTTGTTGGAACGACTAAGATTGCGTGAAAATATTTGTATAGCAACTGTGTGCGGATCGAAATGTCCAGCTGCGTAAATATTGCAAAAGGTATATCCTATTATCTGTGAAGAATCTTTGCACAGTGATTACTCAGAATCTTGTTGGCTGTTATGCAGTTTACTTCTGAATTAGAAATCTACCTTATGCAGGTGATGATTTTTTTCTTTTTTTACAATTTCAAGTTTCTTTCATAAGGGCAAATTAGTCATTGTATGTAAGTCAACAACGAATTTTGAAGAAATGGGCAGTGTGCTCAGTAGAAAATAATATAGGGGAGTTGTGCTAATTGTTTTTTTAACACAAGGCCTTTTTTAGCAATTCGAGATTATACATGTGACTTTTGTGCAATTAACTCAAAAGAAAATGATAGCTATTTGGTTATGAAATATTAAATATATATATATAAAAAATATAAATATATTTAAAATTGATAGTGTGAATTATTGATAGTTTATTTAAGTAGTTAATTTTATGATACATCTTTTCGTATGATGATTTTTGCATTTTTGGAAGTTAAATATCAAAATAACTACCAATTTGATTTTTTCGTTGGAGATGAAAATTTGAATTTTTGATCATTAAAATAGAAGTTTTACTATTTAACTCCATTAGAGTTGCTTTAAATAACTATAAACTTAAGTAAAACCCAACATTGCCTCATTTTAGAACGGGTGTGAATATAGGATTTACTTTGAAAGTCAAAAAAATTCTGCAAAATATGAAATGAGAAAAATATTAGTAATAATAAAAATTAAATTTTAAAATTATAAAAATGTGATTAAAGTTTCTCATGTGGTCGTAACGTTTTTTGATTTTATATATAAAGACAATCAATAATTTAATTGATTTGATTAAAGAACATGGTACTATAATAAATTTTACAAGAACACTGAACACACTATGATTTAAGCATTTAACATCATTAAGACAAAGAAGAATCTAGATGCCAAATATCTAAAGAATTAAGATTATTTCAAACAAAAGAAATTGAATCCAAATAATGGAAATAGTCAATTTCAAAGAAATTATACTATGATTGGTTGTGCTTTAATATTATGGTACAAAACAACAGATACAGTAAAATCTCGATAAGTTAATAACCTCACGTAAATAATAATTTTTTACAGTTTCGATTCGGTAAAAATATATTAAATTACTACTTCAATAATTTAATATTTTGCTATATTAATAATATTTTGTAAGTCTCGACTGTATTAATTAATAAATGTATAACTGTAGGTTGTGCTTATTTTACCTTAAGATGGTAACATTATCCAATGCATTATCCCGGCGGGATTTTCAGCAGCGTTTAAGCATGAACCTTAAAGTTATTTTGGCATACATCAGGGTGTAGGTGTACTTTACCCTATAATAATTAAATATCTTTAAATTAATCCAGTCAAAACTAGTAAAATTCTATTAATTTATCGAAAAATAAATAAATTATCAAACTAATAATTTAGTTGATAAAAAGAAATAATTATTTAAATAAAATTATTAATTTATGGAGTAATAATTTATCGAGATTTTGGTTGTATATAATATAATTACCCTTTGTTAAGATTTGAGAATAGGCAATCATTTATTCCTGCAATCTAACGTTCAATTTATTTTTATTCGTTAATTCGTCGAGTTGTACTGTAGATACATAATTGAAAACTAGCCGAGAGGGTGGCGGCGCCGCGGCGGAGATCGCCGGTGACACCTCCAATTGAATTGGTTGAAGGTATATTTCTTCCAATACTGAAACCTTTCATCGTTCTTCGATATTTTCTGCGCATGTGTATGTAATTTTGGTTATGGAGGTAGAAAATTTCCTTCTTTGCTGCCAATCTCATTCTATTAGCTTCTTTGAATTGTGGATTTTTTTTTTAAATAAATATTTTCTTCCGAAGTTATTGATTTTGATTGGAACTCATGATTATATGAGAATTTTCATCTATTGAAGATGCTGAATAGTGTTTGTTGCCTTCAAATCTGTTATGTATTTCTCATTTTACTTGCCTTGCAGTCATGTTGTTCGTAGAAATGCCGTAAAAAGAGTTTCGATTTAGAATACGGCTTTGAGTTTGTAAATTAAGATTATTCTTCTAGTAAAAGCATTTTGGTAAAGTTTTGATCTGCATAAGCTCACTTGCTTACCGTCTTATGTTCTTAGTGAACGTCTGCTAGATAATGGCGCAGCGAGAAATTCCCCCACTGTCGTATCAGGACTTGGCTTGTTACACCGATAACTTTTCCGAGAGCAATTACCTCTGCCATTTCCAATTCGGCAAACTTTATCGGGGAAAGATTGGCGAACGCTATGTGATGGTGAAGATATGGGAAGTTTCGGAAAAATATTATTATAAGCCGGGAGATTACGAATTTAGACTAATGGTATATATGTTATGCCGACCATACGTACGTTTTCAAAATACTTATTTACCGACATTTGTAATACTTTTACTTGCTTGTACAGGACGAAGTCTGTTTACTTGGCCATCGTAAGATGATTAATCATCCAGGCATGTTAAAGTTGTTAGGGTACTGTTACGAAGATGATCTTCTTGGTATAGTTTACGATTTCAAGCCGTTCGACACAGTATATAACCTCATTCTCGAAGGTATTGGAATTTATATATATATATATATATATATATATATATATATATATATATATATATATATATATATATATATATATATATATATATATATATATATATATATATATATATATATATATATATATATATATATATATATATATATATATATATATATATATATATATATATATATATATATATATATATATATATATATATATATATATATATATATATATATATATATATATATATATATATATATATATATATATATATATATATATATATATATATATATATATATATATATATATAATGGAACAGTTATTTCGTTCGATTCTTTCACAG